TGTACATGGTATTCAACAGGCATTGTAATGTACTACAGTCCCATAAACCTCAAATAATCTATAAAAACTTGAGCAAATTGATTTCTAAGATAAAAGAACTCAAGAACAGGGGAACAGAGTGCAGAATAATTTTTTCAAACACGTTCCATTTCTTCACTAATAAGAATGTATAAAGTCGAATCAATTCTTAATTGAAATATTATTTCTAATAAAATAATCGGCCCATTTTTACTCTTCAATACTGAACACTTTCCTCAGTATTTTTGCAGAAAACCTTCAATGCTGCTAATGCTATTCTGTTAAAGGATTATCATCACATATAGGGCACTATGATTCAGAAATCGGAAAATCTGTGCGAATTTCATATTGCCCGGTGATGTGCCTCTCAGCGGTGTGCTAATGAGATTATAGCCGTTTAGTGAGCATTGTAACTCAATCGGGCGTACTCAGTGAACCACGAGCTCCAGATGCTTTCAAGTGCCGACCCTACAAACAGAAAGCTGGAGTGCTTCGGCTATCTATGACCGATTTTTTGCCGTTCTATCATAATAAAATCAGAGAGATGATTGAATTTATCTAGATTTCCTGCGGTAAAAACTGATAAGAGGTTTATTTTAACCCTGCTTTGAATTTTCAAGATTAACTGCTTTGAATTAATCCGATCGCTTTGGAGTAGGTCGATACCGTTCTTGAAAATGGACGTCACTATTTAGGGAGACGATTAAAGGCATGGGGTGCAAAACAAGATGTGGCAAGAGCCTCAGTTTAAAATTTATGATTTCAGATATCTACAATGTAGTAATGCAATGTTACTATAAAGGAGAATACAGAATAAAGAGCATAGTAGCAAAGTTGAAACTAAAGTAAGAAGATGGCATAGAAATCAAGACGAAATTTGCAGCTGCAAGCGCTTTACGATCCTGTGCCATTTACATTTAACTGACCATCTGGGAAAAAACCGCTTTGAAGAATATTATGCAATATTTGTGGAACGAATCGAGATCTATCGTACACCCGTGCCATTTAAGTTGAACCAATCGTCTTTATAACAGTCTTCTGTGATTAATTCAGAAATGATCTTAATTGTAGTGAGCTCAATCTGTTTAACACCTAGACACCAATTTCTAGAGGTCTATCGCTCATCCGCAAGGCAATCAGTCTCATCTCAGTTTGTGCCATTCAAGCAACGCGTCATGGATTCATGGCCGTGCCCCGTGTCGTCTGGACGGTCCTACTATTGTCTTGTACAAAATGGAACGCGTTTACCACTGCCATATAGTAATTATCGCTCTTCACCTGTGAATCGTGGATTCCCATGCACATAAGGCCTACATAGGGATTCCCATATGTCGTTTCTATACAGTGATCACTTCCACTTAGACGATTGAACTTTGCTGAATGCCATAATGCGGCTGGAATAAGATCACTAAAACCCCAGTTTCAGCTAATTTCCTCTCGAATTTTCAGAGGAACTCAATACTTATATATTTCTTTTATTAGACATATTGTTGGAGAAAAAATGATGAGTTGGCACTTTTTAGCTTCTGTCGGCTTGTGCACTGCTTCCGTCTTATTGAACCTTTCGGGATGCAAAATTTGATGAGGATTTCTACTATGTCCCAACTACATTCATTTTCGGTACAAGTCCTTCACCTCAATCGGTTTTTCATCTCAATGGAGGCAAAGTCTTTCACGCGTCCTCCAAGCTTTTGCTAGTCATTTGAGAGCTTAAATGTGGATAATTTTGATCCCATGCTGCGTTTTTGAAAAGGCCTTATTAGCGCTGAAGAAGCGAAAATCTAATTGAGTTCTACACTCGGAGCGCATTATCGCGTCTCTCGAATCATGCTGCGCGCAGCGTTCTCAAAGCCGCCTCAAAGGGGAACAATTTTTGTTATTTACTCAAAATTTTTTGTTTTTTCTCGCATAAATCCTTCAGCTTTCCGTGCTGTAGCTGCAGAGAAAACTTCATTCTATCGTTCTATGGGCTTAGGTTTCTGTGTTCAACTATTATTGCAGATTGAACCTACTACTAAGCCCAAGAGTGCGAAACTCAATCTTTTTTTACTCTCCCAATGCACTATGAAGATCTCTCCGAAAAGAAATAACTTTAAAAAAACACCTGAATTTATTTCAACGAAAAAACTAGTAAAAATCTCTTGATAGACCGACCACAAGCCCTAACCGCTTTGGTGTCGCTTCTTCCGGCTGTTGCGGAATATTATCGATGCAGTTGTTCATACACCCTAGTCAAGCAAACTGCGTGCCATGTGTGGAGCTTAGTTTTTCCTGACTGCTACAGCTCAAAAAGAAGGTCTTCTGAGGAAGCAAACATAGTGTTGGAATCGTAGAGATCTAAACAGTCGAATGACTACTAAAGGTTGAAGAAAACAAGGTCCTGTCCTCAAAGGGTTCAAAAACGGATTGAAGTGTAGGAATTCTAGCCGTTTCTCTTCCTTCATGGTCACTTGTTTGATACTATCGAGAAGAAAGAGAGTACCAAGGAAAGAATGCGTTCTACGAGACAGTCATAATCAGACAAACTGAGCTTCTTTTTAGAAGCGATACACATACATCGTTCAGAAAATTTGGGGTAAACATAACTAGGATTTGTGCTTCTTGTAATGAGGCTTTGGTGAGTTTATATTTCACTAAATGAAAGAGAACAAGCTTTTATAGCTTTGTACTTACAATATCATGGAATACAAAGCGTCCCGTCACCACACTGAATATCCGTGCTTCGTTTATTAGCAGGCTGTTGAAGGTGATTGTTTTCTCATAGCAATGAGTCACAATAGCCAGCTATTGGACAAGTTGTTGTTTTATTTACCAAGTCTACTACTGCTTCCACTCGCAATGAAAATCGATGGAGTATTTTGTATATTACATGAGACAAAGTATGCGACCGTGCCCGCGAAGTCGTGATTAAGGTGACATTCTATTTGATACTCGAAGCTCCCAATCAATCTAGGTTTCGCTCCCTTCTGAAAAATTTGCAAAGAATTTGTTTTTTCAGAGGCAAAGAAATAAATAAAGCATAGCTTGAAGACACATCGTGTAAATGAATAAAAAGCTAGCAATGCCGATAACACCCTGCTGATCAGAAAGGTATAGGCTCTAATTTTCAAATTGTTGCAGACTAGCGCATACAGTACTCCTTGATGAAGGCGTTCATTACATTTCCCTTTGACAGATGGTTTCTACCACTTCACAGCGATTTGCGTCCACTTCACGATTGACCCATTAATTCGCTTGCGAATCAGGCGTTTAGTGACGAGAAATAGACGCAATTGGCCAGATAGCCATAGAACCATCTGGGAAACTAAACTGAGATCGGTGCTCTATTGATCTTGTCCAAGATCAATTTTTTGATTTATTTTTGTTTTTGCAATAAGCCTCGTAAACATACGGTTTTTGCTATATAACACAACTTCAAGAAATTGGCAGATTTATTGCTTTTTTTTGCGAGCAGACAAAAGACTGTTGACGACAGATTTTGAATTCAAAATAAAGATAATACTTTCGACACTTACTAATCTCCGAGAGATGAACATGTATTCGACTTCACTAATCATAGGTAGAGGTGACTGAGTTTATATCTTACCATTGGAATGAACTACGATGATCTGCCGATGTTTCAGATTAGCACTGTTACCCTTTCAGAGAAGTGTGACAGCAATTCGTCAACTCCGAGTAGATGGAAAGCTTGGTGAACGTGGGACACGGGATCGAACCAATGCCACGCATAGATTGTCTGGCACCTCTGACCATTGCGCTATCCGCTTCCATGCAACAATACATATTCGATACAATATCGCCCGACGTTTCAGAGTTTTATCTATTTTCAAGAAGTTCCGTTCTTTTGAGTCATCCGTTTACTCAATGGAAACCAGCAGCACATCGTCAATTAACACACTCTACAATTCAGTTGTACTGAGCGTTCTTCATACTATCTGCCATGGGCTGTGGTAATCCGTAAAGTACTATTCAGCTTTTACCATAAGTCACTCACTTGTTTCGCTAAATGGATAGAGTTTTTCTATCAACTAAAAATTCGGAAATCATCATTATTTCTGAGCCCAACCGTATTTCAATGTTGTTTATAAATTCAAACTGGAATTTTGTTTATCCCGTTTGGTTTTTTTTTCCTGTCTTCAGTTGAAAAATAATATTTACGGCTACGTAATGTCATAACTGTCCGAAAGAATGACGGATGAACTGCTAACCCGATTTGACTCGAGTTAATTAGGTGTCTCTAGACTAGGAGGCGACAAATGAAGAGCTGTGATTACAGGGCGCGAAGTTGCGCAATACCATACTCAGTACCGTAGTTGAGAAGATGAATCTCCATTGCTGAAGAGGCTGAGCTTTATAACTTGAGGGATACTACTCAATTTTAGAGGACGCTAGTTATTTCTACTTGGAATTTCTAATTTATCGTGAGTCAGTGCGTATATTGTGATAGAAAAAAAATTATAAGCCATTTCGTCAATAATAGTTCGTGTTCTACTGTAATGCGAGATACCTCAATCACTGAATTATGAAGAAGTGCGTTGTATTTCACTTTTCCAAAACCTGAATTTATCCATTGAGTCTGTAACTTAAGCGGTTCGCTGTTGTATAAATCCTCTTTTGCACCTCACTTACATGCCTGAGCAGTGATATGTTCTTATTTTTGATGCAGCTATCAAAGAACTGGTCAATTCAAGATTTCAAAAGAGAATCTCACTCCCGTCTGAGGTCGAATTTTTGAAGTTCAATTCCCGCCTGAGGTTGAATTTTTGTGCTCACCACTAAATTCTCTTAGGTATATTTGGAACATCATAACACTGCGAAAATGCAATAAAAACATAAAAAATCTTGAATATTACATATCACAATGGCTGTCGGCTTAACTAGGCTTATAAGCGATATTCCTTACCCGATCCAACCTGTTTTAAGTTGGTGGCCGATAGCTATGATAGAGACTTTGACGAATGAGAGATAGCAAGATGGTGGGTGCCTCAATGATGTAGTGGTAACACTAGCCTCTGGTATAGGTGAAACGCGGGTTCAACTCCTGTCTGCGGTGGAGTCCTTGCTTGGCAATCAATTCTCTTAGGTTTATTCTTGCAATAGAGTTTTCTTTCGCACTTATTGACGCTTCTTTAACTTTTGAGTTATATTCAGCCATTTTTTACTCTTTCCAAAACTTTCGCGCTGTTAATCTGCTGAGAGCTACATGCACTAAGCAGTTTAGATATTAACACGCGCTCAGTTTCACGAACAGCAGATCTTATTCAAAATTATACGTGCAACATTCTCATTTTCTGTGTTTACACCATAGGTAATATCAGCAAAATTAATCTTAATTAGTTTATGCCAACAGAAATTTTTCGGAAATTCGACATTGAGCAAAGATAACGAAATGGATTAATTTGAGGTACAATGCTTGTTTACCTTACTCCAGTAATATCATCAATGGAATCCATCTTTATCTCAACTTAGCTCATTAAATAGGAAAATAAATCTCTATATTGGGTGAGGTGCTTGCGATGAGCGCCATGAGGTGGTCATCACGGTGAGAACAGCTGGAGGTGGTAATGTTTGAGTTCGTTTCACACCTTTAGTCAATCCAGAATGTGCTAAAAGTCACAAGTCAGCGGGACGCACCGACCCACAGCTTGGTTTTTATTGGCACTGTAACGCAGATCGTGCTTCAGGGTTTATTTTTTCACTTAAGATATTATAGGACAATAAGAAAGTGCGAATAATTAACAATCTGAGTAGAAAATCAGTGGGAGTAGTGAGTTTGGTAGAAAAACTCGGCGTAGGAGTTAGCCATAACCTCATTCTTGCTCGGGTTCAATTTTCACGTAGCAGATCTCGGGCATAGTGTTTTGATGACCATATCATGTGTTTTTTATAACAAAAAATTTCATGCAGATTTCTATGTTTTGTTACTATCAGTGAATTATAATGCATTCTTTTGCGTATCATGCAAGACAGAATTGTTCCTTACTTTCGTTGCTCCTCAGTCATTGTTCCTACGCATTATTAGGAAGCTATCACTGCTCATCCACCAATCAAGCAATGATTCGCTGTCGATATCCAAAAAATTTGCCAAAGGAATTTCCTTGTGTTTTCTCTTAACACACAATTCCCGCTCTTGACCTGAAGTACCTTAAGTGACTGTTTACAGAGATTAGTGTGAAGCAGAGAGGATTAAGCTCCGATTTCATCTTAAACCAACAAATACACAAGTACTTACACATAGCAAGCTGTCAGAATGTCAGTGACGATCAGGGAGTTTACCTTGTCTCGTAATTTTTTCGCTGTACACTTTTATTATTGTATTTTCATTAACAGGAAAGCTTTTTTCGTAACTGTCCATTCATATATTAGCACACAATGTCCGGATCAATCACAGCGTCAGCTAGAAATGAAGAAATAATCTTGACTTAGTAATCAATCATCAACTTTCAAGCTACGAGCTTCGTTAGATCATCGCTCTATTGTTTGGCTTACAAATTGGCAGAGATCTCGAAAAGGCTCAAGAGGCTTCGAAAATGGTTTTACTTTTCTTTCGTACACTATAATATGCATTCATAGACATAAATTACCGATAAACCTGTAGCATCAGGTTGGTAAAAATATATCACTCTTTGTTTTTTCATTAACCTCAACAAGTGGTTTGGGCGGAATTAAGAGATAGTCATTCTTGGGACATATGACTTGCTTCAACATTTTGAAGATTTCGTCTTCTTGCAGTGGATGATTTGAGTCCACTGCGCTCAGTCGTTCGCCCTTTCTATAGTCTGCTTCTTCGTTATCCTTCGTGTCAAATCTTCTTCAGTGGATCAGAGCGGCTGAGTTTTTTCCATTAATTTTCCTTCTCCCTTCTCCCAAATTCCAATCTTCAGTTCTCTCACATTCTTCATAACTGTCATCCTTTCGAAGCTATATTGTTTACCTTCCGAGTTTTATGACAGTTGAAAAAAAAGTTCTTGAGTAGTTCAATAAGTATGGGATAACTGCCATGTATATTATGGGATTTTTACAGATTCTTATGTGGGATTTTTCCAGTAAAGGCGCTGATGTTATTCGTCTTTATTTCACCTTGTACTTTACTACTTTGGCTTTTCCCGATCAATGCAGCACTTATTGGAAAGTCGCCGATTTGAATCGTTTGGATGGAGTTAGAAAAGCTTGCCAAGAGTTCTTTAAGTCAAAGTCGAAGGAGTAGTACTTCGACTAGATTCACAATTTGTTGGACCGATGACAGAAAGTCGTAGAAAAGGATGGCCTTCAATTTGAAGAAAAGTCATTATTGCTTTTGTTTGGAATTCTTGCTTAAATTTTAAGCTTTTGACTAAACACTTTTTCCAACCTAATTAACAGAGTTCTCTATCAATGTCTAGCAACTTATTAGGCATCATGAATGCCTATCATTTTCTACATGCACTCAAATTAGTTTTTAGTGGAGTGAATACACATCGCTCTCAATATATAATATTCTGAAAAACAATGAAGCATTATCAAATCGGTTACTAATGACTAGTATATTATGCAAACTAGTAAAACGAATTACCCTTGATAATTAAGTGTATTTCGCTAGAGACATGCAAACGTTATCACGTTCTTAGTTGACTGGAGAGCTTTTAGAATATGTAACACCTTTTATAGAGTAAATCCAACCATTACGCAAAGCTCCGCTTGCCTAGCTTTCCCTTTTAAGAGTGATATCTCTCTGAATCAAAAGAAACAAAGGAGGTACTGAATGACACAGGAGACAATGAAGTGAATGGCCAGCGCGAGCTTGACATGGTCTCGCCTCGTCATTTGTCTGATTGACGAGACCACTGACACGGGTATTCGGCCACACAAGATCTCCCCACTCGACCCAGAATAGGTTGGAACACCTGTGAAACATCGACGCTGTATTGCTGAAGCGATTCAAAAGACAACACCATCGATTACCTTTCTAGAAATTTATCACACCCTTTTTGACCTACTCCTAACGTAGCAATATCCGTGGCTTTGTAGATTCTATGCGCATCTGAAAATTCATACTACAATTAAAGTTACTACAGCAGCCAAAAAACTTGACACCTTTGAATTTAAGATTTATTTTAGTAGAAGAGGACGATCTATAGCCGTCATTGTGATGGAAATGCTGCACAAGTCAGCAGCAGCCTGTGGTGACGACTTTTCAAAAACTAAGCTCCAGAGATATGGCATGAGCAATCGATAATTTGTTCATATTCATATGCTAGACGAATATGCTATACAAGAATGACCGTGGCCAAAGTTTGGCCTCTTCGTCTCCTTCCGATTAGCACTTAATCGAGTAGGGTATTAAAAAACCCTCGTTCTGCAGGTGTAATTATTCTTAGCGGCATAGAGAGGAATCGAGTTGCACAGCCAGGCTCTTCCACTCGTGCACTATCTCCTTTTTTCTACTACATGCCAACCATTTGCTGGCATAAGTGCAACTGGAAAGAAATTCGTACTAGTCGAATTCACGCATCCCATCGGATTAGAGAGTTTCATGACTGATTATCAGCATTCCTTGGTAAAGTAAAGATCCTATCGCACCATTGGCAAACAACAAATAACGGCTTCACCTCAATTCATACATCAGATGTTGATTCTCCGAAAACTAGAGTACAAAGACTTGAGAACTCTTTAGACGGTAATGATGATTTCTCTGAGATGTGGTCTCGAGTTCAAAGCTACTTGGAGACCAAATATGCAAAAGAAGATATAAACGTAATCAGTTTTCCCAGGGTTTTTAACGGCAACAGATCAAAACCACGAAATATCATTGTGTTATTTTTGACAAAGCCTCCTTGATTATATACATTACAGATCGAAATATAAATCATCGCGAAAAGGCGAATACATGAGGTTCCATGGCCTTTATGAAGTGTTGTTTCATCATAGAAATTTATATGGTACCGGTGAAAAATTATAAAATCAAGTGGTTTCCAATTCAATCATCAAAGTTCACCATGAGTTAAGGATCTCAAAACTTGAGGGTGTGCGTGCAATGCACTCAATTTATGACGGTCACTGTATGTCGATGATCACTAGCGAATTTTGGAGACCACATCAATAGAAAAAGATGTGACATGGATCACTTCGCTAGAAGTGTTATGTCTACCATTTGTGATTGATTTTTGACTATTCAACGCCCACACAGAAATTATCTTGGAGAAATTTGAAGTTAACGTCTCAACTATTCAATCACTCAGAATCAAAAAAGCACCATGCAAAGTACTCACTGTCACAGACCTGTGAAAAATAATAGAAACTTCCCATAGTTACATCTTTGCGGTGAAAAAAGACCTTAAGGAGTACGAAAGATGAACATTACGACATGTCTTAGATAAGCATATAATAGGTTGGGGAAAAAGTTCTGAGAAAATGCTTGCAACTTTTTCGGGTATCGACCATTTTTTGTGTTTTTGGGCTTATTCGAAAGCCCGTCTTCTCCCGCGTTGCTCGGTATATAATTTATCTACTTATTCCAAGATGGAGTTAACAAGCGAGCAAAATTAGGCTGATGATGATGCACGAATGGCTGTTGGGTTCAAGTGCAACGGTGGCAAGTGAACGCATCAAAATGCATCAGCATCATCATCATCAACGAAGTAGATAAATTATACACCACTCAACGCGGGAGAAGACGTGCTTTCAAATGAGCCCAAAAACACAAAAAAATGGCCAACACCCAAATAAGTTATATGCATTTTCTCGGAACTTTTTCCCCAACCTATTATTAGGTTTTTCCATAAGTTTTGGCAACAGAGCGGTAGACATCAAATTTTTAGTCGGAAGTTGTCAAAGTTGCATAACAACACTACTGATAGTATGCCATCAGCCTGAACACGTTTCTGCATCTCTCAGGCAACAAATCAATTCCGCGCTCATAGAACTCGTCCTTCTTGGATTCAAAGGAAGTTGTAAATCCTCGTAACGAATGATTGATGTCTGGAAACTTCTTCTTGGTCAGGAGAAGCTCCAGCGATCGGAAGAGCTGAAAGTCAGACGGCGAAAAGTCAGGACTGTAGAGCGAACGATCCAGCG